GATAGATAGATAGATAGATAGAAGTTTAAATGTGTTTGGCCTATATAAATTTAAAACATAAGCATTATGAACTACAATAGCCTAAACAGAACTGGAACCTTTGTAAGATATGCGCTCGTCTTCACAAAAACTACATGCAGGGTTTTTAAACATCTCGTGTGGAGAAAATATTCTTTATCCTGTGCAGTATGGCAAGCCATGGCAAAAAGCGGGATAACTTGTAGGCTATAGCCTTGAAAGGAAAACAAATTTGCAGAGTAAAAACAGAGTTTGTGTTGTTGAATCAAATTTTTTTTTAGTACATCTTAAAATATAGAGCTCATGACAAATAATAGTTCCAGATGGACAAACAATAAATGCAAAAACCAGTGTGAATAACAATATCTTAAAAGAAACTAGAGTGGCAAACTTTGAAGTAGGGTTCAAGTTTTAATTAGTTGTACAGCTTGAAGTGTAAAGCTTATTCTCATACACAGATATGGCCTATTTATGAATGAAATTCATGCTTTTATTTGTCATTTAAACTGATGCAAAAAGGGAAAGAGAGTAGAAAAGACTTATTATCCTGTCGCCCCCTCTAGTGGACAGCATTAAGTATTACGGCCTTCTTTGCTCAGAGAACGCAAGTCAATGGGATTTTTTTTTCGGAAGGTAGGCCTAAGTCTGACCAGTCCGAAAAGATATAAGCGAGTCAGACCAGTCTGAAGGTCTGAGCTGAGTTTGGCGAAGCATTAAAGTTATAGGCGGAGTCAATTTCTCATAATAATAATAATAATAATAATAATAATGTTTAAATATATGGCTTTCTCAAGGCAACATAATAAAGAAATCTCAGAGAAACATCGACCAATTCAATATGTAATAAAATTTTATTCGTTTTATAATAAAACTAATAACATTTTAAAGGTAGGCTATGCCGTCTTCAACCAACGTGATTTTAATTAATCTCAAACCTTGCTAATTTTGTCAGTATCAGTATACGTTCACTGATTCTTGCTTCTCTCTTTTCTGTCTTTCTTTTCATGTGAACTGAGTAGGCTACACATGATTACATTCATAAAAAATAATCTTTATTTCTATTCAATTTTTGCCTTGTGATGTAAATAAAATAAGAGAGTGGTAGCCTAAATGTTACGGACATATGATGGTACAGTTCAGCCTATTATTGATTTTTATTTCCTCTTCCCTTTTATCCAAAGAGACGGAACTATTTGCACTGTATTAATCAATGGGAAATACATCATGCCAAAATAATCTTTCATATAGGTCCGTGTGGGTCGCTTGCAAGTCGCAGCAGCACGAATTACGTGACCAGCAACATCTGCTTCAAATATTGTGCGTAGTTAACAGTGAGTGGTGGTTTCAGACATTATTTTATTAAAATGCATTTGTCAGTGCCGCACTCGTACTGACTCTTATTCTGCCTGACAGAAAGAAACGCTCGTACTGAAGGCGTAGCGGTTTGACCAATCAGATGAAAGGGGCGTGTCAGCGCGCTCACGTGTGCAAATGAAATATCGAACCCATAAACCGATTTGTAAACCACAAACGAAAAAATGAAAAATCGAGCCAAAATCTAATTTTTCGTTATTTAAACTAAACGAAAAAACGAATAAACGAGCTGGTTTTAATTTCTCGTTATTCCATTCTAAACAGAAAATGAAATGATCAAAAAGTACACGGACCTTTTTGTCCCATTATTTTTTCTCATTTTAATGCTCTTATCAACATGGAAAAGTGGATCAGCTTGCTTTGTGCAAATGTTTTTTTATTGAAAACAACATTGGCATACTGTGTTCAATTTCACACTAACATTCTCACTTGGAGCAAATAATCTCTCACACAATGTAACACTGTCCATCAATAAAAGGGTGAAAGAAATACTGACGAGGTTCTGATATTGATGAGGGGGCGGAGAATTCGCATCAGCTGTGTGTGTGCTTGGCCTTCAAGTGGTATTTCAGACTGGACGTGCTGCGATGATGATAGATCAGTTCACAACGACAAAACACTAGTGATGGGCAGATCGAGGCTTCGTGAAGCAATGAAACAGTTGAACCAAATGGTCCATTTTGTTTCGAGGCTTCGAATCAATCCGACACCCGTCTCCACGGTGACACCTAGTGGTCACTTGCAGGTGTTGATCTGAAACAACCTTGACGAGCCATGAATTTTTTTTTTTAATTATTATTATTGTACTTTTCTAATATGTGAATCTTGCAACCTATAGGCTCCTCACTGTGCATAATGTTATTTTGGTCCTGCAAAATGAATATTAATAAAATAAATCAAGCCACAATGTCTCACTTTTTTACATATTTTTATTCAAAAATATGAATTTCTCTGCTGTGGAAGGACTTAGCCTACTTCTCTTTTTTTTACAGATAATTTCTCCAGCCTTTGAAAAAATCCTCTCACAAGGGACACTTGTTGCTGGCATGCAAAGATATTTTTTAGCTAATACATACAAATGAGGAAAGATTACTGCTCTCTCTTTCCAGTAAGTTAGTGGATCATGAGTTCTGGGCAAATTTCACTTCCTCTGTGGCATCAGCTGTAGCATTGTGTATCATCTGGGTTTGATGGATACGAGTATCAAAAAGTTCCCATAAACTGTCCTGTGTTTCTACTGGATGATGTATTGTTGCAGTAGGCGAGCTGCCGATCACAATACACACATCTCACTTTATTTGGGGTTTCTAAATGGAAATGCTCCCACACCACAGATGTACGGCATCTCTTCTGGGGAGCCTCCATTTTATCTATCTATCCAAATCTATCTAGATATGTATCTCTAATCTATCTATGTAATTAGATATATGTATCTACAATCTATGTATTTAGATATGTATATAATATGTATCTATAATCTATGTATTTAGATATGTATATAATATGTATCTATAATCTATGTATTTAGATATGTGTCTATGTATCTAATCTATCTATGTATTTATACCCTATACGTAGCCTATCTTTAATCTATCTATGTATCTATCTATTAATCTAGCTGTCTATATAAATTTATATCTATGTATTAATGTGTCACTATATGTATACTCTGTGTCTCTAGCCTATCAGTCAATGTGTTGTGTAAATTTAAATGTAAGCCTAAATGTAACAAAACAAATCGCACTATATCACCAAAAATCCGCTATCTCAAAATCAAACTCCTCTCACAAAAACCCACGAGGTCAATATGCGTTGATTTCACTTTTATACAGATGTGCGATTGTGTGGTCTGTTTCCGACCATGTCAATCAAACGCTGATTCGGCGGAGCACACCTGATGAAACACTTATGCTGCGTCCCAATTCGCCTACTTATACTACGCCCTAAAAGTATGTACTCTTTTTGTGAAGAAAAAGTACATACTTTTGAGTGTGTAGCAAAAGAGTAGGCAAGCTTTGGGACATACTACTTCGTCATCTTCAACGGACAGATCTGTCGCGTGCATCCTGTCACCGTAAACTGCCCTGTCAATCATCTCGTCACAGTTAAAATCCTCCATTCAATCTAATATAACTTCTTACCATTTCGGAGAGAATTGTTGTCGCACGTTCATCTGCCAGTCATGGGTCTTTCATGCCGAGACTCTCCTCGTGTGTTTGGAATTTGAATATAATAATGCATTTAAAAGTTAATGGCTAAACGTATCTTTGCAAAAGTTCACAATGCTGCTGGAGATGCAATATAATGTGGACAACATTGAATAAATACATTTTCGTCAGGTTAGATACTGATAATTAATAACTCAAACCCCTTTATCTAAACCTCTCTACATAACCGTCAGACTCGCGCGTCCTCCATGTCTGTAGTGTTTGAACACTTTTCATTCGTTTGTAGTTCTAACCGAATCCTCGTCCAACGCGCGATGGGTTGTGGGCAATATCAGCCGTTAGAGTGCGCATCGATCTGCACTTCGGATTCTGACTGGATATAGTAGACCATCCGGGTCTCTTTGGGACACTCATTTCAACATACTACGATTTGGGACGTACTAATTCTATTTTCGAATACTATTTAGGACGGATAGTATGCGAATTGGGACGCAGCAACAGTGAAACATTACGAGGCTTCGTTTGGCCATAGTCAAGTGACATGGGTGTTTTAAATCACGCTTCGAATCAGTGTTTCGAAACATCTGCCTTTTCGGGATCTCGCAAAGCTTCGGAACGACTGTTTCGCGGCAGCCATCCCTACAAAACACACAGATCACTTTGGTCTTGTCAATGGAACCATTTGGCAACTTTTTAAAAGTAAACTTTCCATTCAGAATCTTATTGGCATCCATTTCGGCGTCTCGTGCTCGTCATCCACTCAAAACGTAACGTTAACCAACTATTTGGCCGGCTCGCAAGCCCAAACAAGTGTGTGCGGCGTCGTGCCTGTTGTTTTGTTTCCGATCTAGCTAGATCCGCTTGCGCTTTCGAAAACGTCCTCGCGCGGTGCAAGCCATTGATATGAATGGGTTTCATAGCGCCGCGCATGCCGCGTCCTGTTGCCAAAGCATGTGAAAAAAACTACAAAGTTTGCTAGGCCAAAAAGACCGTTAATCGCGCGATAAAAAAATTAACGCCGTTAATAACGCGTTTAACTGACAGCCCTAGTTGCTATATATATTTTTCACTTTTTATGTTTGATGTAATGGAATGAGAAGTCTTGTGATACCCCTGTAATTATCAAAATGGTTTGGTCTGGATTGTTAAAAGAGCTTCAATGACTGTGGCTGGGTTAGTTCTGGTGAGGGATCCCTTTGGTTGAGAAACATCTGAGACCCAGAACTCAGTAATGTGCTGTTGTTGCTCCATTATGAGTCAGTGTTTTTTTTTTTTTTGCACAATGTGTGGTCAGCACTTAATTGTTACAGTCAATAAAATGACGTTTTGTTGACTCCATGAATGTCTCCTGAAAATTTTATGGCAAGAACCTGACAAGATGGTGGCAGCGGTGGTTTTCTGTCCAGGAGGAGACTGTCTGTAGAGTCAAGTGCTGAAAGAATGGCGCCTAAGAGAGCAGTACGCACTGTTGTTCCTACTGACGTCGAGAGCGCACCAGAGGAGGGTGAGAGGCTGATGGAGGATGCGACAGGTGGGCCTGAAGAGGAGTCGGAAGGTGATGTACTGGAGCTGAAGCAGATGTTTCAACGGTTCATGCAGGATCAGCAAGAGAGAGATGGCCGTCAGATACAAGAAGCAGCTCGACAAGAGACGAGATGGAAATCGCTCCAGCATCAGTTCTGTCTGCTACAGGATGAGGTCAGCCAGCGAACTCCGTTGGAGGATGTGCGAGACAGGGGAGCCGCTGAGGCAGAGGAATCGCCCAGAGCTTCAGGCTCCCGCAACGTGAGCCATGGTTATGCGCTAAAAGAACCAAAGATGCAACAATTGAGTGAAGCGGATGACATCAAGCATTATTTAACCACGTTTGAACGGATTGCTGAGGTGTGCAGATGGCCAATGGAAGATTGGGCCATTAGACTCATTCCATTGCTGACGGGCAAGGCGCGCAGTGCATATGTGGCCATGGATGTCGCAGACGCAAGTGACTACGCGCAGGTAAAGGAGGCTATTTTGAAGAAGTATTCCAGCAATCATGAAACGTATCGACAGAGATTTCGTGCTATGGAGATGCTGGAAGAAGAGACCCCTAAAGAGCTATATGTTCGATTGAAAGACTTGTATCAGAAGTGGGTGAGACCGGGAGAGAGAACGAACCAGGGGATCGGAGAGATAATTGTCCTTGAACAATTTCTGCGGATGCTTAGCCCGGAGCTACAGACGTGGATTAAAGAGCACGGCCCGTCTACAGCTGAGGAGGCGGCGCGGCTAGCTGATGTTTTTGTGGCGGCACGACGTAGAGCTGAGCCCTGGAGTTTCACTCGCTGGAAGACAGCACGAGAGGGATCTTCTCGACGACCGATTTCAACATCTCAGGGAAGTAGGTTGGCAACTGAGGCAAGTGTAAAACGAACTGAGAACTCTGGTGTTTCTGGTTTAGAGACGGTTAGGTGTTATAAATGTGGGCAATTGGGTCATAAAAAGCCAATGTGTCCACAGTTGACAAAAACCCTTATGTGTTATGTACCTCGAGAAACCATACCTGAACCTGCGAACATTCCCGTTCCAAAGCAAGTGATAAGAACTGTTGAGTTAAATGGGAAGAAAGTCACTGCCTTAATAGACACAGGTTGCACGCAAACCCTAGTGGAGTCAGAACTTGTACCTGAATTAGGTGCTAGTGGTGATGCTCCGGTAATTGTGAGATGTGTTCACGGGGAGGAGCGTCAGTATTCTGTCACTGATGTATATATGGGTATAGCGGGGGCAAACTTATGTGATGAGGGTAGGACTTGCACAGAACTTACCATACCCAGTTATTTTAGCACTTAATTGTTACAGTCAATAAAATGACGTTTTGTTGACTCCATGAATGTCTCCTGAAAATTTTATGGCAAGAACCTGACAACGTGGAACGTAAATATCACCTAAACAAACCTCTTTCCAGAGACCTTGGCATTGTTGTATATGATTTTTTTTTAAATTTACATTAAAGGTAACATAGCTGATGGTAGTTAATAACAAATAACCCTCATTTGCATAAGGTTCTTCACCTTATTAGTTTCAGAGAAACAAAAGTTTGTCTTTCCACACTCAACTTAATCACTTGTATATTATGCGCCTTATGGACTTTATTCCTTTATCATTTACGCTATTCATTTAGTAGTTGTTAGTTATTATCTATTATCTTTTTATCGTTATTATCTGTTTATCTTTTTGTTAATAAAATATATTTTATTACACCTGCGTCTTCCTTGGGCTGATAATACAGAAGAGGCTCTACAAGTTTATAATCTCACCAATCTTTCAGACATTAGCTGACCAACTCTCTCCAGTTTACATTTATTCTAAATGATTGAACGGCCTCCTGTTGGCAGTGTAAAAGACCTTGACTGGTGCCCGAACTAAGAGAGCGGGGGAAGTGGTCATCTAATGTACTCATAACCACATCTTAAGTGACATGCAATCTAAAAATCACCACATCAGCGGTGACTTGAGTTCCAATCACTACATAAGTGGCGTCTCTGGGTGGGAAAAAGTAAATCGCTACAAACAGAAGAAGGAAACTCATACAGATTTGGGACAACTTGATGGTGAGTAATTGGTGACGACAATTTTCATTTTTGAGTGAACTATAACCACTAAACATGCTGGTAACTGGCTCATAAGATCTAGCCTATACTATGGCCTCTTGCATCATGGTTCAGCAGCATTACTGGAATAGCTGGCGTGGCCTATCAGCACTGACAGCTTTTGTTAGCTAGCATTTGTCGTGGTTTTATTTACAAGTCGGAAAAATTGATTTCTGCCAATAATGTGTGTGTGTGTGTGTACAAGTTTGTCTATACTTGTGAGGGCCAAATGTCCTCACTTATATAGTGAAATATTATGACAACTGACTAGTGAGGGCATTTTATAGGTCCTCACTAGTTAAAGGCTTCTAAATTGGCCAAACTATGTTTTTATTTAAATTAAGTGTTTTACAGATGTTTCTGTGAGGGGTAGGGGCTGGGATTAGGGGATAGAATATATAGTTTGTACAGTATAAAACTCGTTGGAATGTCCATATAAAATATGAAAACCGTGTGTGTGTGTGTGAACATGTGCAGGTGTGAGGGCATGTTGCTATAGTTCTATTTTGGTGTTGTCTTGTCTAATATCTTGTGTCTATATGCTGTAGTAATTTGTTTTTCTGAAGAAAAGGTAAGTGGTGTTTGCTTGTGTAAAAATCACCGGTACTATGTTAGGATGGTTGCAATGTAGTTTTATTATATTACTATTAGGGCTGTCAAATGATTAATCGCGATTAATCGCATCCAAAATAAAAGTTTGTGTTTACATAATATATGTGTGTGTAGTGTGTATAATAATTTTGTATATTTAAATACACACACATGCATGTATATATTTAAGAAATATTTGCATGTATATATTTTATATATATTTATACATAATTAATATTATATATAAATATAAATATTTTATATATTAATAACACATTTTTCTTAAATATATACATGCATGTGTGTGTATTTATATATACAAAATAATTATACACACTACACACACATATATTATGTAAACACAAACTTTTATTTTGGATGCGATTAATCGCGATTAATCGTTTGACAGCCATAATTACTATATAATAATTAGCAGTTGCTAAGGTGCTCTGAATGGTAGCTAGGTGGTTGCTCTCTAGCCTCAGTCAAAATAGCCAATATATGTCTCTAATATATTCCAGTCTCTTGATATGGCCTGAGTTCTACCTTCAATTCAAGTCTACATGATTTTTTTTGTCCATTTAATAGCCTGCTTCCCTCAACAAACCACATGATTTAAATAATTAAGTTACTGATTGTTGTGCACGCTTTTGAAACACTGCTTTGTGAAGCTTCGAAATCTTTGCGAATCATTTGTTTCAAAACAGTGATTCGGAGCACGTATCAAACTGCCAAATTCACTTTAATATTTCATTAAACAAGGCTTCGTTTTGAATATTTTGAAATCGACCAGTCTGCACAGCACCGCCTCAAGTTTGAACACGCCTTAAATCAAAGACTTTAGAGCTGTGTCCCATTTCAGAAGTTGCATCCTTCAAACGAAGGGCACAGACTTTAAAGGCCACGCCTTCGAAGGCTACAAAACGAGCATTGTTAAATGGGACGGTCTAGCTTACGGAGGATTGTTCTTGTCGCCTAGCAACTGTGACATCTGCTGTTGACGAGTAGCAGTAACATTTGTACTGGACTTTAAACAAATATTCTGTAAACAAAACCAAAATAAGTTCACCATGGTCCATTTCTGTACATAATAAAGAGTATAACCTATGTAAAATTGCATCTTGTTAAGACATTTTAAAAGGGTTTTTTTTTTTTTTTTTTTTTTACATATGTATTATATCATATTGTTATAGTTAAACCCCAATACTAATATTTAAAGGCACACTATGCAAGAATTGTACCTTGATATAACAGCTTCAAAGTCATTTCGGTGGTAAACAAACTCATAGTAGGGCGAATCATCCTGGTAATAAAGCTTGGCGGGGTCGCCGCTGGAAAAACCAGCAATGCAAGTTTGAGAGGAGCGCCCCCGACAAATCTCGCGAGAATCACGACTTGCTTTACGGCAACGACGTCACACACATCAACAACCACATATGAAGCACGAAGACACTTGCGCGCATTTCAGACGTGATACTTGACGATGGAAAAAGCAAAGAAAACGCGGTCGGAAGAGACTTGGAAAAGGAAAAGAGAATCTGACCGCGTGAGGAACCGGAAAAGAGTCCCTGATTCGCCCTCGCTATGTGTGTGCGTGTTGTGTGAGTGAGCGCGAGGGCGGGCGCTGCTGATGAGCTGATCAGCGCCAGCTGTTTTGAATGAGGATGTCCGATATATTCTTTGTTACCTCGTCCTGTCTATGTCAGTTGGTTGAGGCTACCAGGGTTCTACTCGCCGTGTTCTCCTGCATTCCACTCCTGTACCATGCTGTGGTTTCCTGAGATTTTCCCGGAGGAATTTCTACCTGTTCCTGCATCTGTGTCTGCCCACTGCGTCCCTGCGTTGCCGAGCCTGAGTCTTCTTCTGCCTGCTTCCATTTTGACCCACACGGATATCTACTATTGTGCTCAATAAATTACTGTTTACTCGCAACTGAATCCTTTGACTATTTCCTTGTGACAGTCCCACTCGGTCGGGCTTTCACTAGTTGGCGCGAGCTAAAAAGCAGCACTGGATTCAACCGCGATGCTGACCTGGCGATCTTGTTGATGGATTAAGTAGCCTAAATCTCTTATTTCTAAACTTGATTGCGTTCTATGTTGTTGCGCTTGCTTGTAGTATGCCATTTTTTTACGATGCTGTTCATTCATCCATTGTTGATAATTAGACCAGTCCAAAAATGTCCACATATGTCTAGATAGCTATTTACGACAGTGTAAGTGTTCCACAGCGACTATAGGGGTCGCTGTTTGACTAAAACACAATTTCTGCATAATGTGCCTTTAAGTATTTAAGTGTATTCCAGCAATTTCTCTCAAAAAAATCTTGTACAATGATTTCTGGGGTAGGGTAGGCTGCGAAGGATCCATCTGATTAACCACATTTAAAGGAGCTTCTGAATTGAGACGCAGGTGAAATATAGAAAGACAGTGCACTCGTATTATTATGAATGGGAGAAAGAGCAAGGCGCAATATGGCAGAATAAGTCCCGCCTTCCTAGTAAAAGAGCCAGTATCAAATTGATAAAGTCACTGCAGCTGCCATTTCACGAGTTCACACTTACATTCAATTAGAGGGAGTAAAGTTTAATGCGTATTTGGGGTGCTGTCCGGGGGGAGGGCTCCGAGCTCGGAATTCGGCCCGAACCCAGAGTACTCCCAACCCCCCGTATGTAAATGGTTAGGACTAGAAGAGTGGAGAAGTGGTGGTGGGGGGATGCTGCAAAACTGTCAATGGATTGAGGTGAGACTGCTGAATCTATATATACCTCTATCATTGATTGCTGAGTGCTCTCCACCCGTGTTAATTATCTGAACGTGCTCCTTTACACGTTATTGTAAACGTTATTAACTTTGTTAATAAAACATCATTAGAATATCCTGTTGCTATAGAAACAGTCTGTTTTCTGAGACATCTTAATACTGTGCATCTGTGCTTGGTGAACAGTTTTGGAGAATTTGATGTTTCCCCATTCAAAGCGATAGGAGCTGCACTTGCATGACTGAAATAGCTGCCTGAGAGGTGTTTCAAAGATGGCCACAGAGTGAAATGGCTTCCCTTAAAGGGACTTTGCTTAAATCTGCAGTGGTCAGGTAGTACAACGGCCATGTGGTACAAGTCGTAGCTCTCACTAAATTTCGAGTTGACATGTTGTAATTACAAGCCAGCTATAATTCACCTGTGCTTCCAGTATGCTCTCCCAACCTCCCTCATCAGACCTCTGCCAGTTTCTCTTTCAGGTCGCTACTGTCTCCCGTCAGCCCCTCGGTTCCTCCTCTACTATTCCTCTGTTGTGTGGATCCACCTCGGGCCAGCCGCTTAACAGCACCGTCTGGATGTTTGGATCCCTCTGGCCTCGCCTTCAGCCACTGTTCCAATCACTTCACCTCGGCCGGTCATCCAGACTCCACCGCCTTGGCTCCTCCCTCCCTCGGCTCCACCTGGGACCATCGGCCGTACGGCTCCACTGGTCTCCCTGGACTCACCTGCTCCACCTTGGTTGGGCATCGCGTTCGGCTCTGTCTGGCACTCCGGCTCCACCTCAGCCCTCCAGTACCCTGGTTCCACCTCGGGGGATCGTCGCCACGGCCCCATTGCGGCCTCCGAAGCCTGCGGTCTCATGCCTTTCCATCGCCTCTCCGTCTGCACTCTGGGCTCCTTCTCCACTGGCTCCGTCTCCATCCTTCATCCCCATCGAGGAGATTTACACTATGGTTCCTCCCTCCCTCGACTCCGCCGTGGGGCATCATTTCTTTCCTCCCCTCCCTTCCTCCCCTCCCTTCCTCCCCTCCCTTCCTTTCCTCCCTTCCTCCCCTCCCTTCCTCCCCTCCCTTCCTCCCCTCCCTTCCTCCCCTCCCTTCCTCCCCTCCCTTCCTCCCCTCCCTTCCTCCCCTTCCTTCTTTCCTTCCTTCCTTCCTTCCTTCCTCCCTCCCTCCCTCCCTCCCTCCCTCCCTCCCTCCCTTCCTTCCTCCCTCCCTCCCTCCCTTCCTCCCCTCCCTCCCTCCCCTCCCTCCCTTCCTCCCCCCCTCCCTTCCTCCCCTCCCTTCCTCCCCTCCCTTCCTCCCCTCCCTTCCTCCCCTCCCTTCCTCCCCTCCCTTCCTCCCCTCCCTTCCTCCCCTTCCTTCTTTCCTTCCTTCCTTCCTTCCTCCCTCCCTCCCTCCCTCCCTCCCTCCCTCCCTCCCTCCCTCCCTTCCTCCCTCCCTCCCTCCCTCCCTCCCTCCCTTCCTCCCTCCCTCCCTCCCTCCCTTCCTCCCTCCCTCCCTTCCTTCCTCCCTCCCTTCCTTCCTTCCTCCCTCCCTTCCTTCCTTCCTCCCTCCCTCCCTTCCTTCCTTCCTCCCTCCATTCCTCCCTCCCTTCCTCCCTCCCTTCCTCCCTCCCTTCCTCCCTCCCTCCTTTCCTCCCTCCCTTCCTCCCTTCCTCCCCTCCCTTCCTCCCCTCCCTTCCTTCCCTTCCTTCCTTCCTTCCTTCCTTCCTTCCTCCCCTCCCCTCCCCTCCCCTCCCCTGCGTTCTCAGGCCACCAAACCGCCACTGTTGTGTAAATGACCGGCCAGAACGCATAGATTTTTTTCAGTTTTTTCAGTTTTCAGTTGAAAAGGGTGTCGTGTAAATGGCCCCTAAATGATTAACTAATGATTTTTACATCGGAAATGAATCAACGCTGAACTTACTTAAACTGGACAATGACTTTCTTCTAGATCTGCTATACAACCAAAACAATCTTTTTGCATTAATTTCCTGTTATCACTGTAAAGCTGTTTTGAAATAATCTGTATTGTAAAAAGCGCTATATAAATAAAGGTGACTTGAATTGACTTGTCTTCCTCAATTGCCTGTGACCTAGTTTCTCTGTGTGTTTGATTAGTCATTGTTCACCTGTCATCTCATTAATTATCTCATTGTTCCCTTTGTTTGTTCCATGCATTTAAACTTTGAGTTCTCCTTCATTCTCTGTCCATTCTTGTCAGTGTTATGTTGTGTATGTTGGTTCTATCTCTCTGAGCTTTTTATTAAATACTTTTTATTAAAATACTATTGTACTGGTTATCTTTTGTCTTTTCGCTGTTTAGACAACCAACCCATTACATTTTACAGTTAAGAATCGTTACAGAAATTACGACATGGCGTGGACGCACCTTGATTTCTTTGAACCCATGAACCAGTGTCTATATTTCATCTACCTGATCTTGGATCAATTTTATGCATAGTAGAAAGGAATAGTTGTAGTTAATAGTCTCTTATCAGCCTGATTAATTAAGCTTTCCATAAAACAAACAAAATTATTTAATAAAACAACAGTATTATATAGACAATTCATATTTAATGGTGTTCTATGATTTATTTACACTTTAAAACATTTGCAATTGAAAAGTGTTTTAATGCATGTAGAGTTTCCACTGCATTAAATCCTTCTGACCTGCAGGCGTCAAGACATTTTGTGAAGCAATTGGTTTAATTGATTCAAAGTTTCAAAAAGCTTTGTTTCTCCCATCCAACATCGAGATGTTTTGACATTATTGGCCAACTCTTGCCTGCAACAGAGCCAACACCATCAAGGTTTATTCTTCCGAAATATAAAGGTCATTAAAAATTAAACAAATGTGTAATGTGCAGCCAATATATTTTTAAAATGTTTTTGGGAATTTATGTTCTTTGTTCATTTGTGTACATTAGGTAATGGTCTTCACTGCAGAACATGTTGTCCTAATTTCTGTGTTGACTGTCATTGGCCAGTCCACCAAATCATAAAATGGCCGCCATCAGGATGCTTGGGTAAATGTCCCTCCACACCAAAGTGGAAAAATTTAGGAGAAATTGCTATACATGGCTGTTAGGATTCACACATCCAGGTCATTGTAGTGAAATCATCTAATAAAGCCACTCGGATGAGCAACATAATTGCTTAAGCGATAAAAACATATCCATTTAAGAAACATGCTAAATGTGACCAGTATAAAACAAATATTGGTGGTAGTGTAATTTTGTATCTATAGTATAGACTCGATATTTTCACTTTCCAACCCCAAATTTATGCATAAGGAAACAATATGGCAATCCCGCCATTAGCGTTGCTGTTCATTATCAATGAAAAACATCTCCTAGCAGCCACATTTCTGAGGATAAACAATGATACGCAATACTAGCAATTTTTTGTACAGGTCACAAATATCATCAGAGAGGATAATTTATCATGGTTTACACATAGGTCTCTAAAAATGTTTGCGAAAAGGTTTCATCCGTGTTTTCTGGGAAGTTTGTGAGCCACCATGCTAACATGACGTCATCCAGCCACATCTCTGTGATATCGGAGTATATTTAAAAAAAAGTTATTTGTTCTTTTCGAAGTACGAAGCTGTAAATTCTGACATTCCCATCATTATTGCATGTTCTTCAGGCCCATTTTTGGGGGAAGGTTCCTGCTCACCCATCCCCCACTGCTAAACTAAAATCCTTAGGACTATTTGTGATTTTTTTCAAAAATCTATAAATCAATGGTCCGTAGACAGTTTTCCTTATTTATTATTTACATACCTTCACAACAACATGAACTTATTCTTTTTCACTTAAAATAAACTCATTTTTAACATTAGCTAGCTATTTTCCATTTTGGGGGGATGGGCTCCTGTTCACCCATCCCCCACAGCTAAACTAAAAACCTCTAGGACTTTATTATTAATATTATGTTTAATGTTAAATCAGAGGTCCGTAGTCAGTTTTTTCTAATTAATTTTATACATATTCCTAACCATTGTCCACAACAACGTATTTTTTTCTTTTGCACTTAAATATACACAATTTTTTAACCTTAGCTAGCTATTTTCGCGATTGGCTCCGCCCCTTCTTCCAGTCAGCCACTCCGAAACTCTCACCCTCAGAAGCTCTGAGAGCCATTTTTGTTTCATGGCAGAGAGCACGGCAAGCTCTCATTTCAATGCTCTCAGAAGGGACTCGGTAAAAGGTAAGACTCCTTATTTAAAAATCATCTATTTATTTGGAGAAGGAAGCGTGGTGTTACAACAGTATGACGTTTACTTCAAGCAGCTAGGTTTGCCATAAAGACTCCGTATATGGCATATGCTCAACTACATTTTAGCCAGGATTTTTTCGTATTAGTTTTTCACAAGTAGACACCCAAAGTGGGGCTGAAAAACGTCTGTTGTTTTTGAGACGTTTTTATTCACCATAATTGCAAGGTAATATTAAACCGGTAAGTATTAGACGAATGTTTATCTCCCTTTTTCGCCAGATGAAGGTTCCTCTATTGTGTGTTGCATCGCCATTTGAAATGTTATTGAATGTAATTCTGAATTATTGACGTTTACTGCTACAAACCCCGGGTTTCGCTGTATCATTTCGCCTCTTAAATATCATTCGATCTGTTTTAACGCTTAGGCTGCTAAGGAAGATAAATATAGCGAGTAAAGACCGGATCTGTATTTTCGAATGCGCTAGGTTACGTCAAACCTAGTGAAGTATCGCAGTTTAGGGGCGCTGTGCGATCTAGCTACTAGAAAGATGTGTCTGTATTCATGCATGTGTTGTGAATTTAAATACAGACATACTATAGACCTAATTACAAATAAGTCATAAAAGAAAAGGCATAATCTGTTTTCCAGTTAAACTGTGTAAATTGTTATAATTTGTGGGACCTGTTGCGATTTAGGCAAATTCATTTTCTAGTAAATAAAATAAATGTAGTAAAACTGCAGATTTACAGTTTTTTTTTCAGCATAACATATGTTGCGAAAACATTTGTTAAAGAGTGCAGTAATTATTCTGTATAAACATCTGAGCATTTTAAAATGAGCATTCGATTGAAATTGTCAATTTTACGGAAACCTTTTTAAGGTCTTTTAAAAGACTATTCACACAGTGTGCATTCTTTAATGTTATCTCTCTGTGAAATTGTCACACTGTAAGCAGTCGGTAGTGGGACATTTTTGACTGTTGCGAAGCATCTCGGACCATGAGCAATGTTAAGCCCGGTATAACGTTACTTAATTTTTCGCGTTCTGCTCCGTCTTTCAAAGTGTACTCCTTGGACATGAGTGTAGAAAGATGCGTACACTATATATTTTATATAGTTTTTAAGCACTCAAATCACTCGCAAATGTGCCATTGTACACGCACCATCTGTGTGGACACAAAAATTGGGTTGCGCGTTGATTGTGTACACGGATGTCCTCAGATCCAACTGATGACGAAATTACGTCATGTGGACCGCTGCAGAAATCGGACGGCCGAAGTATACTTTGGGGTTTAAGCAGGATGGTGAACCAATGTCAGTTTAAATTAAAACAAAGGACTGAGTATTAGGGATGTGTGCGATTTCCAATTTCATTAACGGTTAACAGAAATTTTGCAACCGACTAGTCTAACCCCGCCTCCCGGAGACAGTCTGGACTACTTAACCTATGAGCAGTCAAATCCCACACTGAATGCCGATAAAAAACCCTCAAGCATCCTAGTGTATGATTTTCTTCTTTCATCCAAACACAATCGGAGTTATTTTAAAAAAATATCCTAGCTCAGGTTAGAGGTCACTCTTCCACCGGAACTAGATTCGCGTACGGCCTTTACCGGAAGCCAGTGATTATAGCGCTTTCAGGGAACAATATATCCCAGTGTGCATCGCAACGACATTGGCTAAAGAGTGTGTAGCATAGTGTTGTCAAAAATATCGCTGTTTCAATATGTATCGATATCTGAAATGTTTTTTCTGCAGTATCGATACACGGATACCAGCTGCGTGTTCTCACTCTTTTCTCTCCGACGGCGATGCACACCCACTCGTCTCATTCACTCTGGTTGAATAGTGCTTGTTGCGCATAATTTTAGTCATTCCTGCAGGTTTGGCACACACACCAAAAGCACGTGCACCACTGATCTAAGTTGCGCTCTCAAACAGCACGCGAGTACCAGACTGACTTATTTTTCGTGGCTTATTACGATTAAACAATCAAAATTATCAAAATGCCTTTCTTGCCGAGTAATCAGGTAAATACAGTTCGTTTTGGAATGTAAATAGTTGAGAGAAAATGCATGTTGTGTAACAGTATATTGGATCCACGCCTTAAAGTGACTGCAGCCTAACAATCCTAATGTCGTCTGTCATGTTAATCAAAGAACAAAAGACAAAGAGAAAATCGCTCGCTGCTATTGTTTGAGTAACTTTAATTGTAAGCATTAATCTGTATTAAATTTTTACAGTGAAAACTATCCAGTTATTTTACACTTGATAACTTTCACATCTGTAGTATTTCTTATCAGAATACTACTGTAAGACCTACCTTTAAGGTACGTTTGTTTCATTTTTATCTTCTATCGTATTTATTTGTGCTATTATTTGCAATTTGTTCTTATTTTATTATTGACTGTTGTCTTTTTTTTGTAAATTCAGGCTAGTTCAACGATTCAAATAAGGCCATCCTTAAAAATATTTTGGTTTGCAGTAACAGCAAAAAAAAAAAAAAAAAGGGTCGGTAGGTAGGTCTATTTTTTTTCCAAAATTCAATGAAGAAAAAAAAGGACAATTTTGGTCATGGTGATTACGTCGGTATGAATTTAAACAAATTTGCATATCGTGACGCCACTGACTGTGTCTTCAACCCATGCCTTTGGGCGCACCATTGTGAATCTCATTCTGATACAGGTTATAGACAACAAACAATTTGAAATCTTTGTCAAAAAACATGCTTATTGCATTAATTCCAGCTGCATTCATTTGGGGAAAAAGAGTGGATTTTCAGAGGGAAACAAATAAATTAAAATGACTAATCTCACCAGCGCCACGCCGACCAATAAAACAGCGCATTTGGCACTATTCGTTTAAATTTGACCCATAAACATCTGCTATTATTAACGGAAATCAGTGAGGTCAAATGGCTAGGCGCATTGTAGAAACTATATTAAGTAGTCCTGACATATTATGGAATGGTCGATTTTCTTTAGTGTAATTTAGTACATTTCGGTATGGGATGTGCTGTTTTATTGGTCAGCGCGGCGCTGGTGAGATTAGGTCGTGCAAGCAAGCACTTCTCCCTGCGCTGTCGAGTCTGTCGCGCTCGCGCGTCTCGGTCCATTGAGCCGCACAGATTACATGTCCGCGCTTCGCGAACTCTGTAACACCGCGCCGTTTCATCCCACTTTCGGTGTGTTTGGCTTCCCATACTTATGTGTGTTTGTCAGAGCCTGCCGTTGCTGTGTGACGCGCGTTCGCGGCGGCCATATCGTGACGAGCTGGACGCGCTCCGAGAAAAGGCCATTAACATCTATTCCCTATTTGACCATTAAGAATTTCGAATAATGAGCGCCTAAATGTAGGCTCATACAGACGTATTTCACAAGCAGCCGCGCCGCAGCCATCACCGAGCGCGAACCATTGACCGTGAATGAAACGAAGCGAACGCACAGACCATAGTGTGACATGCGTAAACCAATGGTGTAAACATAATCATCATAGATGACGCCACGGGTTTTTATTTAAAAGAAAGAACGTAGCCTATGCAATTTATATTCACAATACTTACTATAATATAATTGATATTTTATTGCATTTGTATTAGTTGTTTGAAGAGTAAAAAAAAAATCGGTCGGTCTTAATGCAAGTTTACAACCGGCAAGTCGGTCGGACTAAAAGGAAAAAAAAAAAAAAAATTGGGTCGGTCCTAAATTGACAGGGTCGGTCGGGTTACGGCAAACAAGAATATTTTTAAGGATGGCCTAAAGCCTCCATGTGCTGTGTGCAAGCTAAACAAAATTACCCAAATTATCAAAAAATATCGAAATAACAAATGATCTGTATGGCGGTATGGCAGTTTACCCCGTGTTATCAAATGTTATTGAGTATAGATATTTTTTAAGGTATCGTATCAAAGTTGGAAATTCCTGTATCGTGACAACACTAGTGTAGCATTCTGTTACACATATTGTGTATGAACATTTGTTCAACATCTTTAAATGTGTGAATTTTTGAACATGCTCAATACATTTGTTTATTAAATGTTATGAAAATATTTGCTGAACAGCATTCTATTTGTTTTTGAGGTATTTTGCAGGTTAGCAAACCTTTTATAAATTACTTCTGGGTGAAAGAGTAAACATCGAATGCCATGTACTCTTATGATATGGGTTCTAGTGTTATTTTTAATGCACAACGGATTAAGTTAGATCGTATGCAATGCAAAAGCACATGTCATGCGTAATCTCTTCAATGCACAACGAAGTTTGTTCTTGTATGCAATGCAATGCAAAAGCTCATGTTATGTCTCATCTCTTTAACGCACTATGGAATAAGTTAGATCTTGTATGCAAAGCAATGAAACAGAGCATGTTTGTGTAGGCCAACAACATTTTTAAAGAGACCATAAATATACTTTACGTAGACACGATTGTTTGGTTAAACATATTACAAATGTGTGGTCTGTTTGAAAACCTATAAAGCACTGTTGTTGTTGTTGTGGTATGAAATCCTGAAATCCAGCGTTAGATTAAACCTTACCAAATTTTTATTTTTCAGATAATTAGTTAAACACCAGCCATTTCAATTTGCTTGGCATGTTTCTTTTCATACAGTTGTTCCACCCTGACAATAATAAACCCGAAAGAGATAATTGACTGAAGAAAGCACTCTTGGCGCTAATGTCGGCTGTAACACCCTAGTGGTATTGCTGGAATAGGGCATACTTGTGCTTCTAACTGTGTTCTGACATATTTCAGAATCCAAAAATGTACTCAAAGCAACAACTAAAATGCGATAGAAGTGTTAGCATACTTTCTAGTTTCCTGAAGCGTTTAGTTCCAACACTAATAAAATACAGCTGCCTCTAATGTGCAGCTAATCCTGAAGACTTTAATTACGGTAGTGTTTTCAGGTGTGTTTGATTAGGGTTGGAGCAAAACCCAATAGGACAATGGCCTTAAGGACCGGATTTCAATAACCCTGATTCGTCAGGCAAT